CGCTGCTGTATTTTCAGAATAACTAGTCACAGTGTGATCTGACACTAAATATCTGATTATGGGTTTGGACTTTCTCACATAGCTCTCCTTGTCTTGAAAGCCTTTTACAGTAAACAACGTAACTGAGCATCCTTTTAAAATTTGTCCTCTTCTGTACTAGAGATCGTGGTGGAGTGAACATTTACCCGACCTTTGTGGAGTTGTTTTGAGGTGAGAGATGCACGATATGCTATCTGGTGCTGAAGGAAGAGTCCAGAGCATGTCATGTTTAGTACAACGGGGCATGAAATGCCAAAGCAACTTTTCTTCCTGCCGCTTACAAGGATGCGCCCCAAAAGCTCGTTCTGACGTGGCATCTGTGAATGGAGGGGCTCGGTCATAGGGCAGGTCATTAAAAATATCTGCCTCGTGGACCCAACTCTTTTCTTAGGATGACCTCTAGAGAATGTCATAGGACATTAGGGGTTCAGAGCAGCTCTTGGCATGAGCCCAACCAAAATATTCCACTCTAATCATCATTATGGTGGCTCAAAAGCAAAAGTGGGTGTATAAAGCCCAAGGCCTCCTTCTGGATGCCGGGGACTCATCCTACTACAGCAATACAATTGGTCTACGTGTGTTTTTCAGAGTGTTAATAGATGCCAAGGCTTCCAATACGTCATTTAGGACTTTTACACATCATTTTCCATTTTCAAGGACACTTAAGATTATACAAGTTTTATGAACATTTGCCTCAAAACCTTTCTTAAGTAGTGTTTTCAAACTTGGGAGTGCCAGTCAAGGTTTATTCTTAATTTATCCGTCTTGCTGTTCCTAGGTTAGGAAAAGTTTTCAGTCTTTGGAGAACTAGCTAATTATCATGAAAGGAAGGTAAAATTAACTGAGGCTGAGGATAAGTGAGCTTCCATGTCCTAGCTCTTGATGAGTGGGTCTCTAACTTTAACATCAATCAGAATCATTTGAATGACTTATTAACACATGGATTGCTGGGCTCTGCCAGACGTTGAGTCAGCAGGTGTCAGGTGAGGCCTGGTAGTCTGCATAGCTAATAAGTTTCCAGGCGATAAAGATGCTGCTGTCCTTGGACCACTCTGATAACCAATGACCTAGCTTTGAGACCCCACGGAAGGTACTCATCCTCTTTAAACCTGTTTACTTGCTGTAAAAGGGGAGTATGTGGAGGAGTAAATAAAATGTTTATCAAGAACCTAGGGTCATACCTACCCTGCATGCTCTGTAAGTGGTAGCTGTACTCAAATTCAATTTTAAAATTTAAAACATGCAAGCTAATTTGCCTACATATGGCACATAAATTGCACACATACCCCTCCTTGTTTACTTACATGCCCAAATTTCCTCATTTCAGACAAGATATCAGTTCTCCTTATAAAGGCTGTGACTTCAAAATGAGAAAAGAGAAGCCTTTCAACCAAGCAGAAATATGCACTGAGGAGCCTGTGGGCTCTCTAAACAGTTGACGTGTAAATAGTTCTCATAAAACTACTTGTTTACACAGAGCAGCTGGTGTCTGTGCCTGGAGGGGAGGGTGAGCTGGTTAGGGGAACATTTTCTCTCCACATTAAATATCAGCAGAAAACTAGGGATCCCTAAAAGCAAGACAGAATTTAAATCATGCACAACTCTGAAATAATCCTGGATCTCGGGATGCAAATCTCAGATCTACAGCTCCCCGCTTTCCTTTTCACTAAAGAGTGCTGAAGGGGAAGAGAGGAAAGAAAAAGCTAAGATTAGCTGTAATCACTTCGTTTTTGAAGCAGCATTTGCCTTTCAAGTCTCCTTTCCCTTCACAGAATCAGCATTTCTGCGTCCAGGCTCTAAATCCAGTAAAATGTAGAGGAGACAAAGGGGTCGAATGAGGGGTGGAGGCTGGGCAGAAAGGGTGTATCTCGACTTCCTTTCCACCTCCAGGGGACAAAGCTTTTCTTTTCAGTCGCCAGTGTCCGGTAGGCACGTGGGTTCTAGTCCATCCTGGCTCCAGGAGAGGGTAGAGATGAGCATCCCCCTCTTCCCCTCACACACAGCGGAACAAAGCAATGGCATCGTGTGGCGTGTAGAGCCCACGAGGCACCTAGGGCCGAATTCCCATCTTCTGCATTTCCTGCAGGTGGAGAAGTCTCTTGGCCAGTGTGAAATGTCCATGTAAGAAAATAATCTGAAGAGAAATTTCTGGCTTGGCACCTGAGCATTGTAAACTTTTCATTTCTGATTTGGGACAAATAAACCCCATTTTCTGGCAGATTATCGACTTTAAATGTCATGACGATAAAAATATGAATGATGACAGAAGCTGACTTCTACTAAGTGCTCATCACGTATCGCTTTTCTAATCTTTGCACAGGCACGAAACTACTTAATCTTTACAACAACCTTGTTCGGGAAATCATCTTCCCATTTTATAGATGAGGAAACTGAAACAAAGGTTAAGTAAACTGACTAAGGGCACAAGGTTATGAGTAGCAGAATCCAGAAAATGCAGGATCTGGACATCTCCACAAGTCCTAAGTCCCATAGGTACGGGTTAGGGGGCGTGAACAGTTATGGTGGATAAACGTTTAGTACGGGAATCAGGACACCGAGGGGAGAACGTGACTGAGATCGCCCTGTAAATTCAGGATACGTGAGAAGCCCACAAATGCAGGGCGCTGGCGAAGCCCGTCTGTGGGAGAACTGGGGGCCGTGGCGGCAGGGGCCCAAAGTGACCCTGATTCAAACCCTCTGTGGTCTTAGCAACTACTTTAATCTTTAATCTTTCAGAATTTTGGTTACTTAACCTGCAAAAATGGATTGATCTGAGGATTAAGTTGTCTAAATTCTTCACAAGGTGTTACCGAAATATCAGCTTCTATTGTTTCATGGCATATCAGCGAGTTTCCAGACAGAAAGGCCTGGGAAAACTGTGTGGAGGCAGAAACCTCAGGACTCATGGTCCAGAGGGAGGACTATCAGGAGGAGGCGGACTCACCGAAACCGACAAACTGCTGCAGTGGGCGCTGGCTCCTCCTCCCCAACAGAAGCAAGCACCTGATTCATTCATCCCTCTATCTGTCTGTATGTCTGTCTGTCTGTCTGTCTATCTATCTATCTATCTATCTATCTAATTTATTTATTTTTACACCTACAGCACCTGGTATTCCTAAGTGGTCTCCCATCCAAGTACCAACCAGGCCTGACCCCACTTAGCTTCCGAGATCAGATGGGATCAGACACATTCAGGGTGGCATGGCCATAGACTCATTTCACTATTTATAATCATGGCTACTTAGAGCTTGACCATGTGCTTCTCTACATCATAATAACACAGGACTTCAAGGTAATATGAAATTTCATTCCCCATTCCTCCCCGCCATGCCTCAAGGCTCACGCTGGAAGAATTTCCCATAAGCCAAGAGAGCAAGTTCAGCCACTTTGTCAAGAGCACTATGAGGATGCTGCCAAGTCTTTATTATTTTTCAAAACTAGAGTGATAGATACATCGATCCATCCATCTGCTCACCTACCCACCCAATGTTTATTAAACATCTACAATGATCCAGTCACTACACTAAGATGCTGGAGATACAGGATGATCTCCTGTGACCAAGGCCTTGATCCAGTTTCAGCTCTACTAATGTAGAGAGGAGGCAAGAGAATGAAAATGTTAAGTCAAGCTATATTCAGAGACGGCAGTGAGCTGATCAGCCCTGCAGCCAGACTGCAGACAAAAGATTTCTGCTGGGATTGCTAACAGCCCATTTCCACACACCCTGAGGGGAAAACAAGAAAATCAGTCTTTAAGTGCCGCCCCACACAAAATAAAACCATTCATTCCCTACGGCTGAAACCATGGGGAACCTGTGGATCCAAGGCTGGGAACCCCAGCAAGCCTTTCACTCTGCACATTCTTACCTTTCCACACTCCGCACTCATCCTTCCTCACTGCATGCCCATAGCAAAGGAAGATGGGTAAGCAAAGTCTTTAAAGTGTAACTCACAGGAGCTGAAGAATAATATATAAACTGAAATCCTGGAACGTGGGGTCCCTCTCAGTGTCCTCACTGTGTCTCTCTCACTGTCCTGTCTCTACTGTCTCTGTCCCTGAGCCTCTCAGGCTCTCTCGCTCGCTGCCTGAGAGGAGACCTCGCTGTCTGTGGAGTGTTACCCCTTCTCTAACAGGCTTCCCTTTTGACTCTAACTTTGGTGTTTGAATTCTTTTTCACGCTCCGCCAAGAACCCTGTGTCTCCTCTCTCAGTGCGGGGCTTGAGTCCCCACCGGGGGAATCTGCCCTGTCCTGCGTCACTGCCACTGCAACGAGGGGACGCGAGGGCCTTGAAGGAGGACGAGATGACGACCTGCCCAGATCTCACTCCAGAGCAAATTCCCAGGGTTCCCCCACCCTCTCCCTCTTACGGTCTCTATACACGAACTTCTCTTTGGATATTGATTTTAGAGGGCTGTATTGTATTTGAAGATTAACGTAGGAAGAACTAATTTCTTGGAAATATTGGGTTTTCCTATTAAGAGACGGCTCTCTGTTTATTTAGCTCTTCTTTAAGATACACTGATTTTTAATAAGTTCGATCTAGATTACCAGGTCACTATAAGAAACAATTAATAATAATAAATAGAATATAAATCAAATCTTGAAAAGCAGTAACTCCCCCCACACCCTTGTCTCTTTTCCCAGGAGTCTCTGTTCCACATCCTCTTCAACCGAGAAATCAAAATATGAAGAACACTCACTTAGGGCTGTCTGGATATCTTTTTCTCCATTTTTCACTTCTGTCAAAAATCCTTTCAAAAATTTGAGACCTCTGAAACAAAAAAGAGGAAGAAATATTATTTTCAAAGTTCCCTTATGTTGACTGGGTATACGTGAACAGCAAACATCAGCTTTTATTTTTTTCAGTAATATCTTGGGCACAGCAGTAAACAGGTCAAGTCACATGGCGGTTCCTCGAGTGTCCTCCCTGTCATTTCCCTTTAGCTTGCTCTGGCCCTTCTCATCCGATGAACCTAAATGGTGGTTTTCAAAGTGTGGTCCAGGATCGGCAGCTTCGGCATCACCTGAGAACTCGTCAGAAAGGCAAACTCTGGGGCCCCACTTTGGACCTACTAAATCAGAAACTCTGGATTTGGGGTGGAGCCATCTGTTTTTCACAGGCCTTCCTGGTTGATTCTGAAGCCACTGAAATTCGTGATCCATTGACGTAGAGAGAAACCAGTTGACTTCATCATGCTTTTAAAGCCCTGTCTCATGGACACTACTAACAATGTTGATCACCATCACGAGGTAGGAAAAAAGTGGTGCTCTGTTTGTTAGACCTTCTAGAAAAGGCTAATGCAGTAGGGTTAGGTCCCTTGCTCAGAAGTAGTCTCCTTTACGTGACAATGTTTTTGCTGGTGACATTTCCACTGAGCTGGATTTTGGCCGCTGCCCTCCCGCCTCACCTCTTCAGCCACAGGAGGGCTTCTGTGGCCGAGTTCCTAACCTGGGCAACATCGGCCTCCACCTCGTGCAGCACTATCTTCTGGAGGGTGGTAAACTCCTCCCTGTTGGTTATATACTTCTGATTCACTTTCTGCAGGAAAAGCAGGGGAACAATCTAAGTTAAAAATGCTACAGCTACCAAGCCAATAGGTACAGTATTGGGACTTTCAAGTTTGTCAAGCAGGGCTCTAAGAAGTCAAAATAAATGAAGCCTCTATTACTTTCTTCCTTATGTTTTCAAAGTAATGTGTTTTATTTGGTTTGTGAATTCTTATGAGGCTTAAGCGAGAATTAAATAGTCTTAGGATTTTAAAGTACTGTTTTTAAAGTATTTTGTTTTCTGCTTCAGAACTTTTCTCATAGCTGGCCTATACTTTTTATCCTGCATATAATTCTCAACAATCATTTGCTTCTAAATGAGATTTCATGCAACTATTTCCTCCAAATACAGTTTCCTCAGAGAAAAGTGAGTATATACCTTAATATTTCCAACAAGATCCATTTTAACAGGAGCAAACACCGTAGGGCCCAGTTTGTCTACGAGAAAAAGATTAAAAACATCGTTGAAAAAGTAATTTTTTTTTTGAGTGGAAAATTTTTTTTTTACAGTAACAATAAATTTAGCAGTTTACTGCCCCCCCCCAAACTTTTGCTTTTAAATTATTTTCTAAACACAAGCTTCAAAGGCTTCTAGGATACTCTTATCTCTTTTTGCTACACCACTCTGAGAGGAGTAACTACAATAAAGTCCTAAGTGGCAGGCGAGGATCATCTTGTGCGTTTAGAATGCATACTGGAACCCTTAGGGCAGCGCTGTCCAACATGGTGGCCACTACGTTTGTGGCCACTTTGCACTTGTAACTCAGCTATTCTCAACTGAAATGTACTGTAAGTGTAAAATACATATCAGATTTCAAAGACTTAGTATCAAAAAAGAATGCAGAATAGCTCATTAATGATTCTTTTATATTGCTTACATGCTGAGATATTTTAGATATACTAGTTTAGATAAAACACATTATAAAAATTCGTTTTATCTGTTTTGTTTTTACTATTTTAATGTGCCTCTAGAAAATATAAAATTATATGCGGTTCGAATATTTCTGTTGGACAAGAATAACTACAAAAATAATATAATAGGGTTTAGTTAAAAAGCCAAAAGAAAATACAATGAAATTCTAAAAAGCACTATATAGATCTAAAAGAAAGGCAGGAATAAAGATAGGTAGCTAAAAAGCCAAAAGAGGTAATAAAATAGAATACTAAAAAATAATTAATTAATTGGCTAGAAGTCAAGAAAGGAGTAAAAAAGAAACGAAGAAAAGACAGGACAAACAGAAAATAAATAGCAAGATGGTGGAAACAAATAGCAAGATAGCACACTTAAATTCATCCCAACAATGTTATTCACTACATTAACAAAGTACAGGAAAAAAACATGATAATTTCAGTAAATGCAGAGAACATTTAAAACTCAATTCATTCATGATAATAAAAACTCAATGTACAAAAGTGAATGGTATCTACATGCTATCAGTAAACAACTGGAAAATGAAATAGTTTTTATAGCATCAAAAAACATAAAATTCTAAAATTTATTCCTTAACAAAAGATGTATGTGTAAGACCTTTACACTAAAAACAATACAAAACACTGTTGTGAAAATAACGAAGACCCGAGGAAATGGACAGATACAGCATGCTCAGGGATCAGAAGACTCGATGTTGTTTAAGGTGTCAATTTCTTCCTAATTGGCTTACAGATTCAATGTAATTTTAATCAAAATATCTACAAGCTTTTTAACACGAACTGAAAAGCTATAACTGATATAGACATGCAAAGGACCTAGAGTTGCCAAAACAATCTTGAAAAAGAACAAAATGGAAGATTCACATCATCTGATTCTGAGCCTCACTATAAAGGCACAGACAGGAGTGACAACACCTCGTACTGGCATAAGGAAAGACAAACAGATCACCGGAACAAGAGTCCGGAAACAGACCCGAACTTATTAGGTCAATTGAAGCTGCCAAAGTAATATAAAAGGGGAAAATGTTTTTCAACAAATGATTCTTGAACAACCAGATATAATAAGAAAACACAAAAAGAATCTCAACCCCTACTTCACATTGCGTATAAAAACGAATTCCAAGAGGACGCAGAGGTGTAAACATAAAACCAAAACTCAGGGGCACAGGAGACAAACACAGGAGAATATCTTCACGACCTTGGGGGAGAGTGAAGATTTCTTAGGACACTGAAAGCATTAAACTATGAAAAGAAAGAAAACTAATAAACTGGTCACACAGTAGGAACTGTGTGTGGCTGACGGCATGAGGAAGGAGTGGAGAAGTGTCATCCCGTAGTTCAGGACATTCCTACTGCAAAACAACTGCAGTGGGACGGACTCTACAGACGAATGAATTTAAGACGAATGCAGCAATCTTACCCAGCACCGGAACCACAGCATAACAAGATGCCAAGAATGCTTCTGTGGGAATGCCACCATCTTCCAGAAGTTCAATGTCGCTGAAGCTAAACAATTTGGCAATAGGAGGAAAGAATGAAAATACAATATTAGCACTCTCTGTAGTTCAGAGATAGTCATGAAAACAGCTGCCCCTCCCTATAGAGAGACAAACCATTCGGCCTCAGTGATTTTTCCTATTATAATAAAGTCTAATAAAATCATTTTCCATAGGCAATCTATCAAAGCAAGCTAAAATTTGTTCACAGAGTATATTCTCACAATCCAATTCCTTGTCATCCACTGCCTCAGACAAGGTAAACAGTCAAGCAGATACGTGGGTAGACCATATTCTCAGTTAGAAGACACCGTCGCCTGAAAAGAACACCAGGACTGATTTTCCAGAAGGGAAACTGGTACCCGACTGCTAGTGATTTTAGAGAGTACGGAATACCTGGTGTTCATGGTACTGAAGAACGTCGGGATAACTTCTTGGCCCTCTTCCCACTGGGATTCTGGAGAGCTACTTGAGGAGTCGGACCCAGGCTGTAGCACGTTGGTGTCATGATTTCCCAGGTTTTCCTCTCCATCTTCCTTCATTATTTCACCTTGGACTTCAAAGTAGAAGACAGTAATAACTAACCTATTATCAATTTATTGTAAAAATTTATATTTATCGTTGAACATTTCTAGAACATCGAAAAGCACACAGAAATAAAAATCTGAAATACTGCACACACACACAAACAAAATTGGGTTTAAATACATGTAGATTTGTATCCTGCTTATTTTCACTGAACAGTATATCAAAAAAATATTTTCATTATCATTCGATAGTCTTCAAAACATGATTCTAATGACCATGTAATCTTGCATCACGCTCACGTGGAGGGCACTGAGGTGGTTTCTAAAATTTTGGTATTGGAGACAGTCGATCCCTGTCGTTAGTGTATTCTGGATTTGTGAGTCTGCCCACTCACTAGTTTGTGTGTAATCCTGAAGTCAACGCTCGCAGCACTTCTGCAGTCATCTGTGGACATGTGTAATTTAAGCTGCGTGACATCCATGTTCCCAGCTAAGGCTGAGCAAGGTGATAGACACTCTGGCTGCCATACCATACACAAGTGTGTTCATTGAGTGCCAAGGTGTTGCACTTTTGTTACTGATTTCACTGTTTCAAAGGGCCCCCAGGTGTAGTGCTGGCTGGTGTCCCTCAGCACGACAAAGCTGTAATATGCCTTATGGTGAAAGTACATGTCCTAGGTCAGCTTGATTCAGGCACGAGCTACAGAGCTATTGGCCATGGGTTCAATGCTAATGAATCAACAATATATATTAAATGAGGTATCTTTAAACAGAAATACATAAAACAAGGTTATGTATTGATCAGTCAATAAAAATGTGAACAGAGGTTCAAAGGAACCTAACCTTGCATTTCCCCTAGGAGCAATGGTTCAGTATTTGCTAATTCAGTGTCTGCAGTGACTAGACAGAACATAACTACTGTGAATAATAAGAATTAACTGTAATATCATAAAGAACAGCTCTGTCCACAGAGATTTGTCCTTAAATCTGACTATTCCCCATGGACAAATTCCTAGATGCTATATTTTGGGGTCAAATAACAGTACTGTTTCTACACAAATTCTCCTGTCTTTGTTATTTACTCAAGGGACAAGGTTTCAGTGATGTGTGGATTGTGTGCCTTATATTAATAGCTATGAAAATGCATTTTTTTCCCAACTCACTTGGAAAAACAGGGTCTCTTATTTCAAAGGAGATGAGGAGAAAAGTTTTTTAAATTTTATTTTCAAAATATTTATTAAACACTTATAACACAATTAAAGGCTTTAATACAGTTGTCTTGGACTGATCCGAAGTTGCTTTTAGTGGTTGGAGACAATGTAATTGGGAATTTCAAAGGGCAGCATTACCTGAACTGTGAGACTGTGGCCCAAATGAACACAGAGAAGGCCAGGTGGAAACCTGATGGTGGTTGGCGCATTCTAACATCCAAAGGCCTCAACAGAAACCAGAAGGATGGGAAACTGACCTGCTATAACTTTACACACTTTGAAGTCTGACATTGTGGCCTAAGTTCAAAGGACTCTGAGATTCCGAGCAGAAGGCCAGCAACTATACTCACACTCTGAACAGCCAGTGCGACGGCTACTGCTCACTGCGGCCCATGAGCATCGCAGCCAAGACAGTGAGCGGGAAAATCCCCCTGCACTCTGCCTTTTCAACTGCGGTCAGACGGGATGGCAGAATGTTGTCAAGTGACCTGTTGTCAAGCTAAGGCATCTGCCTCATGCGCTGTCTTGAGGTCAATCCCTCTCGAGTGTGACAACAGGGATAATGACTCAAACCCTCATATTGCTCGATGGTTTGCTTTGGGCTTTACTGTTGTTTTTACCTGTTATATTATCATCTGTATTTTCTTCACTTGATATGCTGCAATCTATCTCTGCAGATTTCATATATAAGGAGCTCTTGTTTTTCATTACGATTTCTTCGTCATCATTTATTTCCATATTTAAAGATCCGTTTTCACAATTGTTTAATTCCATTTGTCTAGAAATTAAAGAAAAAAAAAGCCAGAAGGTCCAATTATTTGGTCATATATAGACTGCCCAGGTAGATCCTATTCTGAGAGATGGGGGAAGGGTTCACAACTACCAACTTCTTTTAACATCAGTTACAAAACAGAACTGCTAAATCAAGCCAGCTCTCTTACCCTCCTGCCTCCAAGGCAGGTAGGTATCTGCCGTGATGCAGCAGGCCTGTCTCCAGGCTCCCTGAGCTGACTCAGACTTCCTGCTCCCCACAAGCAACAGGAAATCGTCACTGACAGCTCTTTGGGTTTCAATCAGCTTTCTACAGGTACCACATTTAACGCTTTTCCCACTCTCCTCACGTTCTCCCTGGGAGGTTTTTTCTTTCCTGGCTCTAGAAATCACTGGCCACATCCAAGTGTCTGCCTAGCAGTTAACTGTCCGGAAGCCACATGCTGTGGTCAGGGGAGCACACTCCCTGATGCTAAGTATGTGTGACAGACCAACCCAGGAGGATAGGCTACTTCCTGAGGAAATGGTGCTCTTCAGAGTAATAGAAAAAGCAATTTAATATATAAGCAACAGACGATCCTGTCATGGAACAATCATAACATCTTACTGTAAGTGACCAGACCAGGCAAATCAGCACAAATATATTTTCTTCTCATAAAAAAGAGAAAAGGCCCAAGCTACAGGATGACTCCAGGAAAAGCATTTGTTTTCTGAAGAAATACCATATTTTAACTTAGCAATGAACAATATAGTATAATGAGGAAATATCTCAAAATAAAAAATGTATAATGATGTTTTTAGAAGAAATATTTAGGGCAGGAGAAAATTGTTAATAACCAAATTGGAAACACTCCTTATACTAAGGAAGCAAATAACAGCATCTAGAAATGAAATGTTAAATAATAACTTTAAAGGACAAATATATAGATGGACTGTCAAAATACGAGAATGCTTATATCAAATAATTAAATAAAAACCCCAAATAATAACACTACTATATAAATGTTTCCTTTTTAAATCAAAGGCATCTTCAGAGGAAAAAATAGACGTTGATGTTAGACTTTCAAATTAAGTTCTTTTTTCAATCTGTAAAGCTACCTAAGATTTTTATTTTTATACAAAACAAAATAGCACTGTCTTTTCTGGGTAAGAGTACACTTACTAGTTACTGACGTGATGGGTGAGAGCCGCAGCCTAGGAAACATGCACACGTCTCCCCAGCAGTCACTGAGGGATGGAAGGCCTGCACTGGCTGAGGCTGAGGAGGACCAGATACTGTTTCTTTCTGGTATCATCTCAGATCATTAGGAAAACCACCAGATAGTCAAAACATTCTCATTTAAAAAAAAAAAAAAAACAAGGAATAATAATACTCTTTTTTATTTTTAGAAAGAAGAAAAAACGAAAAAAGTTACTGTACCTTTCCAATGAATTATGAATCGGGACAATAGGATGTTTCATCTTTAAAAGAAGCAAAGAAATAGAGGTTTACATGTTAAGCGTTCAACAGAGCATTTTTATAGTTTTTTCACACATGAAAGTGGTAAATATGACCATAATATATACCATCCCGGTGTTCAGAAGGGGATCATTGATCCCAACCATTCTTCATAATGAGGCTACCCAAACTTCTAAGGTAAAGGAAGATGGCCTTTTGAAGGACCTAATTATCACAGCCAAAGCCTTGTTGGTTGGCTTTCTTATAATTTCGATTGTGCTCATTAAACATTAATAAATACCAAACTATGATGCAGCACTGTATCAAACACTGGAAGAATAAAGGTGAACAGTATGGGGCTCTTGCCCTTAAGGTAATCTCACTACAGAGTAAGGTTAATATAAGGGTAGGCAGGGAAGAGGACTTGGCCCAACTTAGGGATTCAAGAAGAAGAGAGAGTAAATCTTGAAGGATGAGTAACCTAACGAGGGA